GCAAGTGCTGCTTCTACTTCCAAGATTTCTTGGAAGGTTTTGTCGAGTTCTTCGGAGCCTCCTCACTGTCCTGCCAGAGTTTGTTGCCATTGTTTACGGTTCCCAATGTGGCAGTGTTGCAGTCAAAGTTGATCTTTAGTCTTACCACCTGTGTTGGTTTTAAGTTTCAGTTTCTTGCTTAATTCTGGTGTTCTTATTTCTAGTTCTCCTGCTCATCCACTTTTTCTTCTGTTCTCCTTTGCTCTTTAATTTGTTCACATCTCCTTGTTGTGGAATCTATACAGCTTGGTACAGCTTACTGACACTTGGGACAATTGTGTGTCAATACCCACTTCCTTCGCCGGGAAGGCTCGCACCTCTCTGGAGTCATGCAGTACATTTCAGAATGATATTTTCCACAAATTCCCGCCAAGCTTCCCCTTCTTCCATATCCTCCGCAGGATATCTCGATTGTTTCGTCATCAACTCAGTGTACGAACATATTAACTTTCTTCATAAACCCCCATCAACGTGCTTGAAGGATTGATCAACAGATATCGATCCTCGACGTTGCAGCTGTTGGTCAATAGAAGCAATGGTTACAGTCTTTCTGAACTTGCCCTTTTGTATTTATTATTGTGCGCCGCTTGTGCTCACCTATATGTCGCCTGAACAGTGTACAACATAATGAAATCATCTTTGCTGCGGATCCTACAGCATGTATGTCCGGTTGATACCTGTTGTCTGTCAGCTGTCAACATGTCAGTCACTTGTCACGTTACTGTGTCTGATGACAGACGTGAGAGAAAAAGGGGGGAGGGGTACGTCAACTCTCGCAGACGTGTACCTTTCTGACTCTAGCATTTGTTTTGATGACCCATATGCTATGACCCCTATAGCATGGGGGTCATCTTGTGTTTGCAGCTTCCAAACTCCCGTTTCAATTGGTATCATCTTGCACTTGTTTCAAATAAAGTCTATAGTATCAATTACTCAATCAAATCTACTTAACCAGGTCCTCCTGACACATCCTGCAATCCTCCTCTTTTCTGAACTCATCTCAGTATTTGTACATAATCTAACAACACTGAAATATCAGATCTTACTTCCTTGGATAAGTCATGATCATATATAAAGCACAGTGCGGACTGTTACTAGTCCCTGTGGCACTCTGCTTGTTGCTTCCCTTGTGATTAATCTCACCACTAATATCGCCGTGTGATATCACCTTTGCTTTCTGTTGGAGAGGTGATATCTCATCCACTTCAGCTCCGCAAGTTACTCCATCTCTTTCCTCGAGCATTGTGGGCGTCGCAGGTCCTGAAGGGTGTCGGGAAGTTCTTCGTAGACCAGAAAGCTGCAGTCACCCAACTGTGATCTCCGACATCTTGTCATAGAGCTTTAATCAGCAGTGAAGGGCAGTGCTTTGTAAACCGATTGTCAGGGAATGAATACCATATAAACAATGGACAAGTTATCTCCAGTGTATGATGATCAGCATCCTCCAGACCTGCCCCACGACACACCGTGGGCCCGCCCCACAACACACCCTAGGCCCGCCCCACAACACACCCTGGGCCCGCCCCACAACACACCGTGGGCCCGCCCCACGACACACCCTGGGCGCGCCCCACGACACACCGTGGGCCCGCCCCACGACACACCGTGGGCCCGCCCCACGACACACCCTGGGCCCGCCCCACGACACACCCTGGGCCCGCCCCACGACACACCGTGGGCCCGCCCCACGACACCCTGGGCCCGCCCCACGACACACCGTGGGCGCCCCACGCCCCCTGGGCCCGCCCCACGACACACCCTGGGCGCCCCACAACACACCCTGGGCGGGCCCACGACACACCCTGGGCCAGCCCCACAACACACCCTGGGCCAGCCCCACAACACACCCTGGGCCCGCCCCACAACACACCCTGGGCGGGCCCCACGACACACCCTGGGCCCGCCCCACAACACACCCTGGGCGGGCCCCACGACACACCCTGGGCCAGCCCCACAACACACCCTGGGCGCGCCCCACAACACACCCTGACACCCTGGGCGGGCCCCACGACACACCGTGGGCCCGCCCCACAACACACCCTGGGCGCGCCCCACAACACACCCTGGGCCCGCCCCACGACACACCCTGGGCGGGCCCCACGACACACCGTGGGCCCGCCCCACAACACACCCTGGGCGCGCCCCACAACACACCCTGGGCCCGCCCCACAACACACCCTGGGCCCGCCCCACAACACACCCTGGGCGGGCCCCACGACACACCCTGGGCCAGCCCCACAACACACCCTGGGCGCGCCCCACGACACACCCTGGGCGCGCCCCACGACACACCCTGGGCGCGCCCCACGACACACCCTGGGCCCGCCCCACAACACACCCTGGGCGCGCCCCACGACACACCCTGGGCCCGCCCCACAACACACCCTGGGCGGGCCCCACAACACACCCTGGGCGGGCCCCACGACACACCCTGGGCCAGCCCCACAACACACCCTGGGCGCGCCCCACAACACACCCTGGGCCAGCCAACACACCCTGGGCGGGCCCCACGACACACCGTGGGCCCGCCCCACAACACACCCTGGGCGCGCCCCACAACACACCCTGGGCCCGCCCCACGACACACCCTGGGCGGGCCCCACGACACACCGTGGGCCCGCCCCACAACACACCTGGGCCCGCCCCACAACACACCCTGGGCGGGCCCCACGACACACCCTGGGCCAGCCCCACAACACACCCTGGGCGCGCCCCACGACACACCCTGGGCGCGCCCCACAACACACCCTGGGCGCGCCCCACAACACACCCTGGGCGCGCCCCACGACACACCCTGGGCGCGCCCCACAACACACCCTGGGCGGGCCCCACGACACACCCTGGGCGCGCCCCACAACACACCCTGGGCGCGCCCCACAACACACCCTGGGCCCGCCCCACAACACACCCTGGGCGCGCCCCACGACACACCCTGGGCGCGCCCCACGACACACCCTGGGCGCGCCCCACAACACACCCTGGGCACACCCTGGGCGCGCCCCACAACACACCCTGGGCGCGCCCCACAACACACCCTGGGCGCGCCCCACAACACACCCTGGGCGCGCCCCACAACACACCCTGGGCGTGCCCCACGCACGCACGCATGCACCGGTTCCCACAACCTGCCTTTTATTACTAATTTAAGGTTGCTAGAGCGTGTTAATAAACTGGAGGTACCGTGAGGCGACTCCACCAACACGGGGTGATACTTCCCCCCCTTGTCGGGCAGCCTTGTGCAGCGCTCAGCAGTTGTCAGCACCCGCATACTTACTGCTTAGGTGAACAGCGGCATTAGGTGAAAGGAAACGTGCTCAATCATTTCTTCCTCGCCCGGGAATCAAATCCGGGATGATATATTGTGTTATTACCCTCCGGGGTCACCATTATGGGGTCACCACACACCGGGGTCACCATCATGGCGTCACCATTATGGGGTCACCATCATGGGGTCACCATCATGGGGTCACCATCATGGGGTCACCACACACCGGGGTCACCATCACCAGGGTCACCATTATGGGGTCACCATCATGGGGTCACCATCATGGGGTCACCATCATGGGGTCACCATTATGGGGTCACCACACACCAGGGTCACCATCATGGGGTCACCATCATGGGGTCACCATCATGGGGTCACCACACACCGGGGTCACCATCATGGGGTCACCATTATGGGGTCACCATCATGGGGTCACCATCATGGGGTCACCATCATGGGGTCACCATTATGGGGTCACCATCATGGGGTCACCATTATGGGGCCACCACACACCAGGGTCACCATTATGGGGTCACCATCATGGGGTCACCACACACCGGGGTCACCATCATGGGGTCACCACACACCGGGGTCACCATCATGGGGTCACCATTATGGGGTCACCACACACCAGGGTCACCATTATGGGGTCACCACACACCGGGGTCACCATCATGGGGTCACCACACACCGGGGTCACCACACACCGGGGTCACCATCATGGGGTCACCACACACCAGGGTCACCACACACCGGGGTCACCATCATGGGGTCACGACACACCGGGGTCACCACACACCGGGGTCACCATCATGGGGTCACCACACACCGGGGTCACCACACACCGGGGTCACCACACACCGGGGCACCATCATGGGGTCACCACACACCGGGGTCACGACACACCGGGGTCACCGTCATGGGGTCACCATCACCGGGGTCACCACACACCAGGGTCACCATCACCATCATAGGGTCACCATCATGGGGTCACCATCATGGGGTCACCACACACCAGGGTCACCATCATGGGGTCACGACACACCGGGGTCACCACACACCGGGGTCACCATCATGGGGTCACCACACACCGGGGTCACCATCATGGGGTCACCACACACCGGGGTCACCATCATGGGGTCACCACACACCGGGGTCACCATCATGGGGTCACCACACACCGGGGTCACCACACACCGGGGTCACCATCATGGGGTCACCACACACCAGGGTTCACCACACAACAGGGTCACCATCATGGGGTCACCACACACTGGGGTCACCACACACCGGGGTCACCATTATGGGGTCACCACACACCAGGGTCACCATCATGGGGTCACCATTATGGGGTCACCATCATGGGGTCACGACACACTGGGGACACCATCATGGGGTCACCACACACCGGGGTCACCATCATGGGGTCACCACACACCAGGGTCACCATCATGGGGTCACCATCATGGGGTCACCACACACCAGGGTCACCATCATGGGGTCACCACACACCGGGGTCACGACACACACACCGGGGTCACCATCATGGGGTCACCACACACCGGGGTCACCATCATGGGGTCACCACACACCAGGGTCACCATCATGGGGTCACCACACACCAGGGTCACCATCATGGGGTCACCACACCGGGGTCACGACACACCGGGGTCACCATCATAGGGTCACTACACACCAGGGTCACCATCATAGGGTCACGACACACCAGGGTCACCATTATGGGGTCACCACACACCAGGGTCACCATCATGGGGTCATGACACACCAGGGTCACCATCATGGGGTTACGACACACCGGGGTCACCATCACCGGGGTCACTATCGTCAACCCGCCCTCTTTTCGCTCGTATGCGCTCTATGGCCAAAAATGGACATAATTTGAAATGAAATCGGCTCACGAAAGTGATGTACTGTCCCGTTTTCTATTTGAGTCCTCTGGCTTACTCGGTTAGGTTAGGAGAGGAAACGTTCAATTAACTGTTTTCATGACTTTTAAAACCTTAGGAGAACTTCCTGTCCTACTAACCCACCAGAGGACCTTTAACTTACTGTTTTGGAAAAACAAAATCCTAATTTTTTTTAATTATTTTTAATTTCAAATTACGTCCACTTTCGGCCATACGGGCAAACGGCCAAATTCAGACGTAATTTGTAAGGAGACGTGGGGTCAGCACCGTTGGGTCACCACCGTGGGGTCAGCACCGTGGGGTCAGCACCTTGGGGTCAGCACCTTGGGGTCACCACCGTGGGGTCAGCACCTTGGGGTCAGCACCTTGGGGTCAGCACCGTGGGGTCACCACCGTAGGGTCACTACATAACGAGATATTCCTGTACTCAATTCAGAACTTTTTCATTCACCGCAATAAATGGGCTTCTGAGAGTATATACAACATTGAACATCGTAATTATATCCCCAAAGACGCCTTTCTGTAATTCCCCTCCTCAGGGGGCTCCCAAGGGGCGTGTGGCCACACACTTGGACAATCAAATAATTACTAACAGGGGGAGGGGAGGGGCGGGGTAGGAAAACTCACAAGGCGCACAACAACAGTTTAATTCATCAAATAAGATATAAAAACAGACAAGTATAGCATTAGCAAACTGTGTACACCCACAACCTTACATGACTAAAATATTACAAGTGATCTCGTCACCAAATCGATTTTATCATAAAGGAATTTACAATTTTAGTACTTCTTTTGAGAAATGTTTACATACAATCATACATCACAAACTTCCACATCCGCCGAACATACTGGAACAATACTGGAAAAGTGAAGGGTGACCCAAGCAATGCTTAAGTGATCTTAAACATTACTGACGGTGGGCAGCTGTCATCTCTTATTTAGACTTGAGATTCAGCTTTACGATCTCTAATACAATCAGATCTTATTTTAAGTTTAAGGACAATTTTCACACTCCGTGGCGTTCCTGTTAACTCTTACAGCGGCTGAAGCTGTAATGATGCTCGTGTCATTAGGAATTTCAAAACGAGACACAGTTGGAACACAGAGTTGGGTGAGGCCCGTCTCAACTCCGCGACCAAACCATCGCTCGTTGCAATTTGCGATCATTCACGAAGAGAGGATCATCCTCTCCATCAGACTTAGAAATTACAAATTGCAATGGCTCCTTTGATCTGAGATTAATTGAGTTATTGTATAATAAAGAACTTCGTGCTACGTTGAGTATGGAGTCAATAGATTAGTTATTAAAAGTTGTCAATGTCAACCAATATTTTTTGACTTGTTGTATATGAAAAGGGCTGCAATTGTTCCAAGTTTCAGTACTGCAGCCTAAATAGAAAGGGAGATTTTTTTGTTTTCAACGAATATTACAGATTTAAATAGTTAAAGATCCCACCCCCCCCCCCCCCGCAAAAAAAAAATATGCAAATGTAACATGTTTATTGCTATTATAAAATCAATAAATGAACTTAGGAAAAAACGCTGGCCAAATATTTTAGACATAAACTTTACATATAAGGTGTAAGTTTCATGTAAATGGAATAAAAAATGAAAGAGTTATATGAACGTTTATGTTACTTGAAATTAATAAATAATAAATAAAGTCTAAGGTGCTGCCATCTGTGGCTGAGGTTGACATCAATCAATTTCCTCCAAAATTGGCACCCTTACAGATAGGCTTACGTGCATTTAGGTGTATAAATTTCATGTAAATCGTCCCATAAACAAATAAGAAAAATAAAATTAACAAAAATTTTTTTTTTATTTTTTTTTAATAAAACTAATTATATTTTTTTTAAATACGCCATTGTGATAACTGAGAGTCATAAACATGATTTCAGTTGACACTTGTGTTTGATAATAGTTTTTGACCATTTTGGAACATTTTTGACACCTAATTCAATACTTTTTTCTCCCTTCCTATTTATGCAACAATGCTGAGACTTGGACCCTGTTCATATAAAACTCGTCAAAAAAGTTTGATTGAAATCGAACAAATTTGAAAAAATTGAAAAAAAACCTACTGGCCCCTAAAAGCAACTCGCATGTGCTCGATTACAGTTAAGAGCCAAGCAAGTTTTCTTTAGTTAACCCTTTCCTAAGTCTAGTGTTATTATTTTCATTTATATTGAACTAATGAGTATCAGTCATTTGTTGTAGTGTATGATTTTGAGCTGTTGAAAGTTATTTGTAGTCAGTTCCTTAATTTCTGTTGTGTTACTTTATATAACTTCTCTGTATAGTTTTCTTTTCCTTGTAAGTCAGTGAATATATACTTTAGTCTTGTAGTCGGGTCAGGGGTCAGGTAGGTGTATACTTGCTGGTTGCTCAGTAAGACATTAATGACCCGCTAGAGGTCATGATCCACAACAACCCGTTCTCGCACTTTCTTACAGTCAATATTGACTTATTAAATACGTGCATATGTGACATACTTAACATACTAGTTTACCTTGAAAAGCTTCATAGAAAACACCGACCTTACCTAACCTTCTTATTATGTTATGATAAGCATCTTATTGCTTCGTAATTACAATTATTACTTAACCTATTATAGGTATAGGTATAATTATAGGTTAAGTAATAATTGTAATTACGAAGCAATAAGATGCTTATATTAACATACTAAGAAGGTTAGGTAAGGTCGGTGTTTTCTATGAAGCTTTTCAAGGTAAACTAGTATGTTAAGTATGTCACATATGCACGTATTTAATAAGTCAATATTGACTATACGAAAGTGCGAGAACGGGTTGTCCACAACACCACACTAATTGTTCTGTCAACAGCCTACAACCTCGTTGACCTGAGGACATTTTGATTGTTTTCTCTTCTTTGAAAACCTCAGTTTAATTTTGTAACGTTTGCTTTTATTTTTGAACTCTGATTTCTAGCAATTTTTTCTTGCTTAAATTTGCTGTTTCTTTAGATCTGATAATTTAAAGTCTTTTCGAAACGTCATGAAGATTTTAAATAGAAGAACAATTTTAAAAGATAGAAAATGAGATCACGATAACATGACACATCAACGAGAAAGTTTAGGGAGCGGGAGGGCGGGATCGAACTTGCGTCAGGGTTGGATCTGGATTCATCAAGCAGTTACACAAGTACTTAAGAACCTGTACATATTTTCTCAATCTTTGGCGGCTTTGTTTACATTTATTAAACAGTTTGTGAGCTCCGAAGCACCAGGAGGCTGTTTACTACAGCAACAACATTTGATGGAGAAATTTCGAATCTCGTAAACTGTTTAATACATGTAAACAAAGCCGCCAAAGATTGAGGAAAGTTGCACAGGTTCGTAAGTACTTGTGTAACTGCTTCATGTTTCCCGGCCCTGGCCAGAACCCACCAGCCTGCTCCAACGAATTTCTTCTTTCAAGACACATTTGCCAGGACTCTGTTCATCCAGCCCGTCCTCCAAACAAAGACCCAAAAGTGATTCCATGGACCTGCCAAACCCGCTGTTTATAAATGTAAAACGGTTTACACACGACTCACAACTGTTGACGTTCGAACACTTCCGGAACAAGTGCTTCACTGACGAATTTTGTTCGAACCACAACGCTTTAACTGCTTTAACTACAAATACAAATAATCGCCAACAGAACCTTAACACCTAACGTAACCTATACCTATATATGCACAATAAGCTAATATATTATAATATTAATTTATATTTGAGAAAATTCCCGTTTTGAATGAACAGCATGTAAAAATTTATGAATGCGTCTGTGGGGTCGACCGCTGGATGTAATGGACTTGAGTCGAGGACGGGTTGTAGATGATTCATCCACGTACTACAAATACAAATAATCTCCAACAGAACGTAAACACCTAACCTAACCAGTGCCTAAATATGTATAATATGCTAATATATAATAATATTAATTTATGTGATAAAATTCCTGCTTTGAATGAACAGCATGTTAAATTTGATGAATGCGTCTTTGGGGTTGACCGCTGGATGGAATGGACTCTGTCCGAGGACGGATTAGTTCATCCATTTCATCCTGACACGTTCATATATATATATATGCCCGATTTGCCTAATAAGCCAAGTTTTCATGAATTAATGTTCTTTCGACTACCTAACCTACCTAACCTAACCTAACTAGCTTTTTTGGCTACCTAACCTAACCTAACCTATAAAGATAGGTTAGGTTAGGTTAGGTAGGGTTGGTTAGGTTCGGTCATATATCTACGTTAATTTTAACTCCAATAAAAAAAAATTGACCTCATACATAATGAAATAGGTGGCTTTATCATTTCATAAGAAAAAAATTAGAGTAAATATATTAATTCAGGAAAACTTGGCTTATTAGGCAAATCGGGCCTTGCATAGTAGGCTACTAGGTACGAAGTGATAATATATATATATATATATATATATATATATATATATATATATATATATATATATATATCGTACCTAGTAGCCAGAACGCACTTCTCAGCCTACTATGCAAGGCCCGATTTGCCTAATAAGCCAAGTTTTCATGAATTAGTGTTCTTTCGACTACCTAACCTACCTAACCTAACCTAACTTTTTCGGCTACCTAACCTAACCTAACCTATAAAGATAGGTTAGGTTAGGTAGAGTTGGTTAGGTTCGGTCATATTTCTACGTTAATTTTAACTCCAATAAAAAAAAATTGACCTCATACATAATGAAATAGGTGGCTTTATCATTTCATAAGAAAATAATTAGAGAAAATATATTAATTCAGGAAAACTTGGCTTATTAGGCAAATCGGGCCTTGCATAGTAGGTTGAGAAGTGCATTCTGGCTACTAGGTACGACATATATATATATATATATATATATATATATATATATATATATATATATATATATATATATATATATAAACACACATCGATATACAACGTTCGATTTTAACACCTATATAACAACCAATATATAATACGTCATAAACACGTATGTCCACCATATTATTGTATTGTACTTAGTTTTACTGTACGAGTAGGGAGGTTTCCAGCAAGTAATAACACTGCTGATATCTATAACTAGAACATTCATACAGGCCTTACGACACTAATTTGAAATACCACCGAGTTTTTTAGGCTCTCCAACAATACACGTGTACAACAAGTGCAGTACACGTGAACAACACGTGTACAACGCGAGCAGTACAACTATAAACGCCAAGAAGTAAATATCGCGATGCAAATAGCAGGCAATTTTTTAAAGTGTATTGATTTCAAGCGCTATTAAGCAAATTTGCAAGTGTTTATAGTTACCCATATTAAACATGTACCTGGTGTAGCTCACGATACACGTCCTCGTACACACCTACACCCTCTGAGACTAGGCAACACCACCCCACACCCTCTGAGACTAGGCTACACCACCCCACACCCTCTGAGACTAGGCTACACCACCCCACACCGTCTGAGACTAGGCTACTCCACCCCGGGATGGGACGGGAGCCGGTCGGCCGAGCGGACAGCACGCTGGATTTGTGATCCTGGGTTCGATCCCAGGCGCTGGCGAGAAACAATGGGCAGAATTTCTTTCACCCTATGCCCCTGTTACCTAGCAGTAAAATAGGTACCTGGGTGTTAGTCAGCTGTCACGGGCTGCTTCCTGGGGGTGGAGGCCTGGTCGAGGACCGGGCCGCGGGGACACTAAAAAAAAGCCCCGAAATCATCTCAAGATAACCCCACACCGTCTGAGTCTAGGCTCCACCACCCCACACCGTCTGAGACTAGGCTGCACCACCCCACACCGTCTGAGACTAGGCTACACCACCCCCACACCGTATGAGACTAGGCTACACCACCCACCACCACTACCACACCCTCTAAGGCTAGACTACAACAAAGATAAGGCTAAATGTTTCAAGATGGAGGGAGTCTTGGACTACCTATAATTCATCAGCAACAATCATTCACCCGTACAGGTTTTTCGTGTATTTTTCCACAAAACTGTTTTATAAAGTATATATACCTGAAGTACCTGGATGAGGTTCTAAGTGTTCTTCTCCTCCCTGAGCTCTGTCCATAGCCTGACTAGACTTGTAAGAGCTTGGTCCAATAGGCTGTTGCTTGGAGCGGCCCACAGGCCCACATCACCAGAGCCCGGT